GGCGGCCTGAAGAGTGGGGAGTAGTTACAGGTGAAGGTGAGGTAGAAATGGTGGATGTTTCTGGTAAAAACAGTAAGTCAGTAGCTAGAATGTGGATCAGTGAGCCGAGCCTCGCACTTCATGAGGAAGACCTAACCATAAAGGGGCGATCGCGTACTCAAGGTGAGGGTCTTCAACTCAGAAACGGCAGAAAGCCGTTTGCTTTTAGGAAGAGTTTGTTTTGATAGAGGGGAGAAGAATCAGGGGTAGCATGAGTTGATGTGACAAGACATGGGTGAGGCTGTCACAGAGACACTCGGTGGCAGCTTGGACATTCGTGAAGTGGTGGGAGGTAAACGGGCGTGCTCGGCCGTGGGTGCTCAGCCGTGGGTGCTCGGCCGTGGGTCAGGCTTCAGGGCGTGATGGATGGAAGCACGGGGTGGCTGGAGTGTCTGTCTTCAGAAAGCGTTACTGAGATGAGAGTGTTAAAAAAGTTCAGGAAAGACCCCAAGTTTGGTTTGGAATACGCTGAGGTATCAAAAAGGAAACTTCAAGTAGGCAGGTTGGTCTTTCCTGAATATGATCCAGAGCAAACACAGCATATTGTGTGTATTAACTCCATATTGTATATAGAGTAAGTATGTGGCTCTGCTGAGGGAATCAGAGTCAATAGAAAGCTGTGTGTGAGGACATGAAGTCCTGGAATAAACAAACATCTTTTGGTTTCTACATTTGGCACACAGGACTTATTTACCATCATCTTGTTACCTAAAGCTCACTGGTTGCTCACATGTGTGCATGCTGATATTACTGTCTGCTAGGTAAATTCCATCACTGGCTTGCTTTTCAAACTTATACTGTGGTGCTGGTTTGACTGAACAAGTTTTTTGAATGCTTCTCTGCTTCCTTGTTTGTGGTTACCTACTGTAAAGAAAAAAAAACAAATGAACTTAAACATTGTTGGTAAAACATTTATCACAGTGTTTGATGTCTGGGATGAATAAACATTACCTGCCAAAAAATGAAGCCTGTTATATATAAAGGATATGTTTAGGACAATGTTTCTCAACCTGTGGATCTCGACCCCATTGCAATTTGAATGGCCTTTTCACAGGGGTTGGCTAAGACCATTGAAAAGACACCGATATTTACATTATGATTCATAACAGTAATAAAATTATAGTTATGAAGTAGCAATGAAAGTAATTTTATGGTTGAGGGTGACCACAATATGAGGAACTGTACTAAAGGGTTGCAGCATTAGGAAGGTTGAGGACTACTGGTCTAGGGGCTGGAGAGAGGGCTCCTCAGTAAAGATGCTACACTCTTTCAGAGGACTGGAGTTTGGTTGCCAACACCCAGATCAGGCAGTGAGCTGCCTGTAATTGAGGTTTGAGGGGAATGCGATGCCTCCAAGGGGCACTCACACATGCTAACACCCCCGTACAGACACATGTACACATAATAATTTTCTAAGCGACAGTGTTCAGGGTTTCAAGCCATCATCAAATAGACCAAGTCAGAATACTTCAAAGACAAAGCTATCTCCCCACCCCACTGTTTCTAAAGCAGGGAAATGATATTCAGCTTGAATAAATAAGCATTAGATCATGCAAAGCACAATGAGCGTTATTTGTCCTTTGGACATCCTCCCACTGTATGCAGACCTACTCTGGAAGCTTGGTGTGTGTCACACAGCAGAATATTCTCTAATATCACATTAGACCCCTAGCTTTACAGGCATTTGGAAGACAATCTTGCTATGAGTCACCTCCTCTGCACTAATGGTACCTGTGAAAACTGAAATTTTGTGTTTTGTATTGCAATGAAAATAAAGTACAGAAGTGAAAATTACATTGGTTGTGAAATGTAATTCAGCAATAATAGTCTTCCTACTATTTTTATGTGATCTAAAAAAGATATAAAAATGATATTCTTGCATTTTAGCCACTTGGGTCATACTGGATAACACAAATATCTAAAATAAAAGAGATTTTCACACATTATGTGCTCATCAGCAATGAAAATCTGTTTCTCCTAATTGTACTGCTAATTTTAGTTTTGTTTTTGGCTTTATGCACACATATATATGCTGTGGGATGGTCTGTATGTCAAATCTGTTGCTCTGATTGGTCAATAAATAAAACACTGATTGGCCAGTGGCCAGGCAGGAAGTATAGGTGGGACTAACAGAGAGGAGAAAAGAAAGAAAAGGAAGGAAAAAGGAGTCACTGCCAGCCGCCACCAGGACAAGCAGCATGTAAAGATACAGGTAAGCCACGAGCCACGTGGCAAAGTATAGAATTGTGGGAATGGATTAATTTAAGCTATAAGAACAGTTAGCAAGAAGTCTGCCACGGTCATACAGTTTGTATGCAATATAAGTCTCTGTGTTTACTTGGTTGGGTCTGAGTGGTTGGGGGATTGGCGGGTGACAAAGATTTGTCCTGACTGTGGGCAAGGCAGGAAAACTCTAGCCACATATATATGTATGTATATATAATAAGAGCACAATAAATTCTTCAAAATTATTTTTGTGTACAGATACATAAACATACCATATGTATTGAGTCTATTGAATGAGCTATAGTGTATAAAACTTAAAGAAATACTGCCCTAATTTTCTGTCACACAGGCCTTTCAAATCCATTTGATCTTTTCCTCACTCTAGCTTATTGCAAGTGTGTCTCTCATTCACCCAGTCCTTTTCCAATAATAAAAGTTCAGTACAGCATAATACTCTCCTATCTCCAGCTATCCTTTAATAAAGCATTACTCCTTGCCTGGTAGCTTTGAAGCCTGTCATGAGGACAGGAGCTCTGATCAACTTCTCTCCTCACATCTGGCTCCACTACCTCGTCTGTTTACAAGCCATTGTTCCAGACCTCCCTGGGGGTGAGCATTGACTGAGAATTTGGGGAAAGGCAAAATACAGGAAGCCAAGGAGAGAGGCTCTTACTTGATTGGTGCATGTACGACCTTGAAGAGATGGTCTCTGACTCTGTGAGATGCATTCTTTCTTAGTGCCTTCCTGTGACTTCCTCAGGTTCCCTCCTCTACAATCCTCTGTGGCAACTACTAAGACCTTTGACTCACAGCTCCTTTTGAGTGGGCAATACCTCCCTCTGATTGGCACCATAATTTCTAAAGGTTTACTGAAGGAGTCACCTTGCCTGGAGCCCACGTAGAGATGTTCCATGGGTTTCTGAGTTAGTCTGCTGTCTCATCACTGAAGTGGTGTGTGTGTGTGTGTGTGTGTGTGTGAGTGTGTGTGTGTGTGTGTGTGTGTGTTTCATCCCATGTGTGTGTCAACAGAGCTTCATGGCTCCAGAAACATGGCAGGAGGAGGCTATTCATGTCATGATGGGCAGGAAACAGAGGTCAGGAGCTGGGGACCAGGGACAACCTCCAGAAGACATGTCCCCAGTGCCCTGTTTCCCCTAAGTACATCCTTCCACGTGACATTTCTAGAATCCCCCCACCTGGAGATGAAATGTTCTCCCACATGAGCCTGTGGGGACATAATTCATATTCTAACCACACCAAGGTCCATCTGTGAGCTTCACAGTCAACCCACAAGGAGCTCACATATTCTTCTTGGCCTCTACAAGTCTGTATTCTTAAAGTTAATTTCTATAGTTGGCCTTGCCGATTTGAAATTCCTAATCAGACACAGCTACTTACCTTTAACCTTTTTAGGGGTCAATAAAACATCAGTTCCTTTCTCATTTCAACCAAAGGACCAACGTCAAGCTTTTCAAATGATGCTTTTGGAATCTTCATGATCTAAAGCTCTTCATCACCACCACCCCCACTCTCTCCCCCTCCCCACGGCGGCAATACATGGTCCGCCAACTATCCTGAGACAGTAGTTGATGCAGCCCTCTTCAGGTACAATAATTTAGTTGCTTTCTGATTTGAAGTCTAGCGAAGAGTGATGGACCAACACTGGTGGGGGGGCTTTATAGTTTCATAGTCTGTCCCAAATACACAGTCTAACACTGAGAGGCCCAGGCTGGGGGCACGCAATAACTACCAGATTTGAGAGTCTGCCGAAACTGAGTCAACAAGAAAGGTCTCATCTTAACAGAGAGAGAGAGAGAGAGAGAGAGAGAGAGAGAGAGAGAGAGAGAGAGAGAGAGAGAGACTAATATGAGCTCTGTCTGGTAATTCTTCACTTCTTCAATACATTATGATTTAAGTCATGTTTCTTGATAAAATACATTTGGAAAACATTTCCCTATTGTTTTTCTCTTAAGTATGATGTAAGTTAAGCTATTGGTTTGAAATCATTTTTTAACCATATCAGGAGGAATATTCCGTATACAATTTAACTTTTATCAGAAATGGATGTTGGATTTTGTTGGATGTCTTCTGACATTTATTAAGATGAGAATGAAGTTTGTCTCTTTTGACCTATTGATGTAATGGTGATATCTTAATATTTCCTAATACTGAGTCATTCATGGGTTTCTTATAGCAATATTTTTAATATAATGCTAGATTACATTTTCTAGTATCTTGAGTGATTTTTTTTATCTGTAGTTATAAATGACCTTGGTCAAAAAGTATTTTGTTCTATCTTCACCAGGATTTTTTGTATAAATTAGCTTTTTTTTTAAAAAAAAAAAAAAGGTGAAATATTCCACATTTTATTCTAGTCACAACCTTCTCTAAAGTTTTAATTAAAGTATGATCATGTATTTAAAGAGCATACACTTGCATTGATCTTCACGTGTAAGTGCATATGAGTAACCAGGATCCAGATAAAGAAACTTCCCACAACACCCATCTGATAACAGTTCATGGCCAAACATCATCATGTTCTTGATATCAACAATAAAATTTACCTACTTTTCATACCTTATCTAAACAACTCTAAATATTTAAAAGAGTATACATACATACTCTTTTGTGTTTGTCTTTAACTCAGTATTGTGTTGTGAAATTTCATACATGTGTACATTATATAGCATTTAATCTCTCTGAAATTAATATTTTACAATTTAGACATTCCCCGAATTTCTTATCTATTCCACTAATGGGCATTTCAGTTGTTTTCAACTTGATGCTATTAAAAATACTACTTCTGTGAATATTCTATTTCTAGTATATGCTGTTTCTTTATGCATATGCACATACCTCTGCTACATTGTTGAACTAGAATTGCTTGATTATAAGAAATACATGCAGGATGATTACCATTTTCATTTTTAAAGCATCTTTTATATATTCAGAAATACACACACACACACACACGTGAGTGCGCATGCGTGTATGTTGTTTGTAATATATATGTGTGAGAAAGTTGGAGTGGCTGGACTAATATCAGACCAACAACTTGAAAACAAATGTTGTTACCAGAATTAAAGAAGTACATATTGTAATTAAAAGGCCAGTTCTTGAAGAAGATATAACAGTTATAAGAGATAATAAATAAGCCCTCAAATAGACAAAGCAAAACATGACAGAAATGAAAAGAAAAATAGACAATTCAAAAGTAATACTTAGAGATTTATGTGTATTGATATTATATTTCTAACTTCCAATAATGGAAGGCTTTTGAGAGGATTTACAGGAGTGACTCTTTAAGCCTGCATTAGCCAAAGCACTGAAAGCACAAGTGACAAAAATGAACAAGGAAGCAATAGCCCTGGGCAAAGTAGGCCTGACCAAAGCTAAGATGACTCTGTTCAACAGAGACCACCAAGATGGGTCTACACACACCGGATGGGAGAGAACAAAAGACGCACACACATTGCCAAAGCTGGATAGCTGGACTGTGTGGGGAAGATTTTAAGTGAGCAATGGCTCTAAGGGAGACATTCTTCAAAGAAGATATACAAACAGCTGATGAGCTTGTAAAAATATGTTCAACAATATTCGTCACAGGGGGACAAGAATCAAAACTATTTTGAGACCATAGTTCACATCCACTACAAAAGACATAGAAAAGCCAAGACAATAAGCATTGGCAAGCATGTTGAGAAATTAAAGCACTTTCACACTACTGATGGTATTAAAAATAGTACAACACTTTAGGAAATAGTTTGGTAATGCCTCTAAAATTTAAACAGAATTGTCATATTATCCAGAAATTGCACTCTTTAATATGTTCCCAAGAGAAATGGATACATTTGTATCATTTTTGGAACCAAACACTTTACACAAACGTTCACTGGGGCATTATACATAATAGTCAAAATGTGAGCACAACCAAAGTGCCCATCAACTGATGGGTCGATAAACATGGTATATCCAAAATAATGGAATATTATTCAGCAGTAAAAAATAATGAAGTACTGATAAAACACTTCAGGAATCTTAAATACATTATGCCCAGTGAAAGAAGCCAGTCATAATAAACACATATTGATTCCATTTGTAAGAAGCATTCCAGATGTAGCAAAACCATAGAGCAGAAGATAGATTACTAGGTTGCCTGGAGCAGGTAGCCTTAAGGAGAGAACACTGAGAAGTGACTGTTCATTGGTATGAAATTTCTCTTATAGGTGATAAAATGTCCTCAAAATAATTGGGGCAATGATGAGGTTCAATTCCAAACACTCTGAATGGATGGATTGTTTGATATGTGAATTAGATCTCAATATAGCTGGTAAAACAATCAAACAATAAATTCAACCTTGAGCCATTTTGGCTTTCATTTTTTAAAGACTAGCTCTTTGAAATTTCCCATAGAGCCTAACACACACTTGCTAAGAGGTCGATGAATGCCGGGAGCAAATCTTTTGTTGAACAAGTCCAACTGATAGACTTGACCGAATATCTCGAGATTTGTCCTGTACACTGTCTACGAGCACTGCACAGGATTTGATCTGATGAAGAACAGAACCCTTCCCCAGGTTGGGGGGAAGGGGAAGCACCCCAAACAATAAGATGAACCAGCTCCAAGCTGCACTCCTGTCTGCGTGACTGATAAGGACCATCTGATGCCTCCTATTACTCCGTGAGGCCATTCTCTCCACAAAGTCACAATATTTATTTTAGCACCAGTGAATATTGAGTGTGTGTGTATATCTACATAGAGATAAAACACTGCTCTAATAGGAACATGGAGGCTGAGCAAAATCAATTCATCAGGACAATCACGCAGGCCTCTGCATGAATGTTTAGACAGTGGGCTGATAGAGCCACGTGATATAAGTTGCAGAGAAGCACTGTCCAGTGCTCATAAAGCATGATATATATTTTGCAACATGGGCACTATACAAATAATTAATAGCATGGACTAGAGACAACTGATGGGAAGAGAGAAGACAGGGAGTAAAGAAGTCTATCAAATCCTTTGCTCCTTAGGAGGTGGCCGAGGAACATGCAGCCTGGTCCAGTACATCATAAATTTTGTGGGGTTTCTTTCTCTAGCACTGCCTTGTGGGATGGCTTCCTCTTACTAGTCAATGAATGTCATTCCCACAGGCACAATTTTGAAACACTTTATGTTTCTGTTGTCTATTTGTATGAAAGTCAGTATGTAAAGAAATTGCCCCATGAAAGGACACAGTAAGACGTAATTGTTTGAACTGCTTAGATGCCAGTGTTTTTCTCAGAAATGTACTCTTCAGGAATAGAGTAAGCTTAATTGGTAAGATATTGACTAGCCTGTGTGTAATTTATCTTTCAACCATTACTCAGTGCTCCCTCAAGTACCCTGTCATCTACCTATAGAGAAGCACTGCACTGATATTTAGCTCATATCCCTAAGGGCTTCTCCTTTCCCTAATACATATGTATTAATTCCCATTAACCTCATTACAGCAAGAAGTAATGTGGGTATGGAGAGAAGGCCAGACGGCCAGATGGCTGTGAGCGTCTGTTACGGTATGTGAGTAACTTCCCATTACCATGCAGCCTTCACTCACTCTGTGAGTTCACGTTGTGACAAGCTCCTTTTGGAGAACTTGTTGACTTCCCTTCAGGAATCCTACTAGCAAACACACAACTGCCCTCATAGTCTCTTCCACACCGCAGAGCCATGGTAGTTGTGAGACACCAAGGAGAAGTGATACTCCAAATAAACTGTGGTCACACTGGATGGTAATTGTGACTTCTTGAAGGGACCAAGCCCACAAACCATGGCTGCTCGCAGACAGGGCACACTGTGGAGGTCGGAAGTTCTCTCATCCCATCTCTACCCACTTGGACGGTGGCGGGAACTGAAAGAGAGGCAAGCATATTTGTATGAATCTCATGATCCAGGAGGGAAATAACTCACCTCTCCACTCTCAGGTTAATAAGAGCAATGAAGAGGAGCCAGCTGATGGCCAACCTTGAGACCTAACTCACCCTGTGAATCTCTTTAGGTCCCCAGGGATGGAAAGTCCAAGGATCAAGAATTTACAGTCACAGTCAGAGGTGCTCTGCACAAATATTGAAAGTGCTTCAACTCTCTGAATGATTTGTTCCTCAACAAAATCATTGGTTGATGCATCTATAAAAGTATTACCACAGTCTTTTAAACTGCTAAAAAATAATCCCAGCTTTAATATAAACATGAAGCAAAGAATGAGAAGGGCCATTTTAAAATGGCGCTAGGAAGCCTGAAAGGGCATGGACAACAGCACAGATGTCTTTGAGCAGGAGAGAATGAACCTGAGAGTCAGTGGTTTGGGCCGGGCAGGGTATGATTTCTTCCACCCAGGAGGTGTAGAATTGGAGTGCGAAATCCTGAATAACACAAAGCAATGGAGAGAGAGGAAGAGAAGGAAGGGGAGAGCAGGATGGAGGGAGGGAAAGAGAGAGATCTGAGAGATGGCAAGTAGCATCATACAAATCAAGCCAGAACAGAAAGGATGAGAGCATCTGATGGGAGTGAGGAAGGGAGTCTGTGAGTTGAACATGTGTAGGCACACTTAATTCTCACAATAGTCCTACAAGGTGACTGGAGATGGAAGAGATGGACAAAACAGTAGGCAGCAGACAGGAGATCGAAACCTGCTTTGTGAACTCTAAATCCCCATGTTGAGCTGCGATACCCACCACCCGCCTACACTCCCGTGAGGTACTCTTCTGTGCTCCCAGCAGGCGGAGTCTGAGCTGTGGACCAGGGTGGAGCTGATCCAACTAAGAGACTGGGTGTCCCTGTGGGGCCCTGATCCTACTGTGAGTTACAATCCTTTCCTTGGGAATGTGCTTACATGTCAAGGAGCAGGGTGGCTGAGATGGTCCACATTTTACATCAACCTCTTTATCTTTCAGCTCTATGTTCATTCAGTCTTTTTTAAAGATATCTTTTTAGATCCTAAAAATGAAAAAGATAGGTGTATGCTTGAGGCTTCTAATCATATACGGAAAGCTCTGCAGTGTGTTCCAGATTGGAAAAAAAGCATGAAACGGAGGTGTCTCAGCAGGTCAAAGCACTTGCCACACAAGCCTGATGGCCTGGGTTTGATCTTGAAGCCATGTTAAAAAAGAAATACTAGCTGGGCAGTGGTGACTCATGCCTTTAATCCCAGCACTCAGGACGCAGAGGCAGGCAGATCTCTGTGAATGTGAGGCCAGCCTGATCTACAGAGCTAGTTCTAGGGCAGCCAAAACTACACAGAGAAGCTTTGACTTGAAAAACAAAAACAAAATAAACCTACTGTGATATAGGTAGTAGAGATCGAGAATTTTCAGGAAGCTTGGGGATTAGCTAGCCTGAACTACGCACCACAGCAAGGGAGACTCTGCCTCCAAAGAAAATGAAATAGAAAGGACCAAATCCCCAGATCCTCTAATCTGTACATGTACATCATGGCACACAAGTGCCTGTGCTTATACACGTACATCATACACAATAATAATAATTAATTAATTTAAAACATTATTCACAATATCCAAGAGTGGAGCTGGCCTAGATACCTACCAACAGACAGATGGGTAGAGAAAACATGGTCTATGCACACAGTAGAGTTTTATTTAGCCATAGAAGGAAACCATTGCACTTGCAGAAAAATGGATGAACTGGAGACATCATGTTAAGCAAAATAAGCCAGCCTCGCAAATGGTACATGGTTCTCTCAGTCTGCAATCTGATGTGAGGAGGGACAAGGAAGTAGAAGGTGGACTATTGAGGATAGAGAAGGCAAAAAGAAAGAGGGGGAGGCTGGAGAGGGTAACAAAATAAATATGACCAGAGTACATTAGAAACATGCATGTAAATGTCATAATTAAGCCATTACTTTGTACAATTAATATATACTGATTTTATTTTTATTTATGTGTATGTGTGTGCACACATGTGTGACGATGCCCATGGAGTCCAGACGAGGGCATCAGATCACCCAGAGTTGGAGTTACAAGTGGTTGTGAGCAGACCTAATGGGTGCTGGGAATTAAACTGTAGTTCTCTGGGAAAACAGCAACAATGTTAACTATTGAACCACTTTTCTGGCCCCAATAATTTTAAAGGTATAACAAAATGCTTGAAGTCCAGCCCAAATCCTTTCTTTTTCTTTCACTAAATAGTATCTTATTTACTTGATGAACGTGAATTATTAGCTTAAAAAAAAAGAAAGAAAAGGAAAGAAGGAAGGAAGGGAGGAAGGAAGGAAGGAAGGAAGGAAGGAAGGAAGGAAGGAAGGAAGGAAGGAAGGAAGAAAAGTATTTTTCCTCTACTTTCAGCCTACCCTCCATGAAATCTGTCAAAGCTGGTGCAGGTAGCACCTCCCTGGTGCGGCTTCAGAGTGCAGATGTCTGTGTCCCTGGGTCACGTGGGCAGGAACAGCAAGTTCTTCCCCAGTTGTCTTTATCTGGGTTCACTGCACATTTTTTTGCCATGTACTTTTTATTATTCTAAATTGTGGGTGAGATAATAGTTGGTTTCTCAAAGTGCAAAGGCTAAACCTTCTGATAAACTTCAGCTGCTACCAGCGATGAACACCACCCACATGGCCAAAATAACCATGAGGTCACTTCCTGCGTGGCGTCCTGCTGGCTTCTCCAGAAATTCAGAAGCTGAAGGCAGGTCTGGCCAGGATCAGAGGCTGGGACCAATGAGTCACTTGACCAGCTTTTCAACCAGCTCCTCTAAGAAGTATGCAGGGAGAATTTTTTTACTCCAGGGCCCTGTCACTGCTGGTATCTTGGGAGATTTGTGGTCAAAGAGACTTTCAAAGACTTGATCCCCACCATTTCCACTCATGAAGCTTCCTTGGAGCTTGGTAACAAGCCAGGCCCAAACACGGTGCAGGAGAGACACTCATTTCCTCCCCACTAATAAGTTTCTCAGGTGTAGGATAAACTCTTCCATTGGAAGCATGGCTTGGCCAGAGCACATGTATTTAATTTGTAGTACAATTTAGAGTATCGTGAGACTTCAGGAAGCATAGGCCTGTGAGGTTTCTGGGTGGTGAGGAAGGTCTCAAAAGAAACAATAACAATTGATCTTGAAGTTCTAATGGTCTTGAAACAGATAAAAACAGATTTTCAGTTCCTAAAGGTGAATAAATACTATGTAGAAACCATGTAGAAATTTGAGGTACAGCTCAGTGGTAATAAGAGCATGGGTTAGTATTGCAAGATCCTGGGTTCAATCTTCAATAACAAAAGGAAGAGATAGTAAGGATAGAGATAGAGGTGATAGATATAGAAATAGAGATGATAGAGATAAAGATAATAGAGCTAGAGACGATGGAGAGAGATAGGGATGATAAAGATAAAGATGAGAGGAAGAATTGGGATAGTGATAGGCATGGGGATAGGGAGATAGAGAGATGGCAAGTCTAGTTAGCTAGAGAGATAAGACCTTACTTGGGCCTTGACCTCTGTCTAGTCTTTGTCAAACACTGTAGAAAAGGCTAAGTCTAAGAATGTACAGATGTCAAGGGTGGCCAAGGCTGCAGTAGGCAACAAGGCTGAAGAAGTGAGCAGTGGTCATATTCCAGGGGCTGAGACTGGTTTGGGGGGTGAGTAGTAAATACAGGACAAAATTTATATATAACTAGGGCAGACTGAAGGTTTGTGGGGGGGTCTTATTGAGGTCCAGTGAAGACAGAAAATATTGATGGGAGAGTAGCCTACATGGGAATCTTCTACAGGATGTATGGAGCAAGTATACCAAGAGGGCAAGTGGCTAAAACAGAGTCCAACTGAAGGCCTCTGGAGTCAAGGATGTCAAGAAAATGATTGACTGCAATGTTGACAGAGCTGTGCATTGCATGGTGATGTTTTTCCCAGTGATGATAGGGCACAGATAAAAAGCCAAGTTGTAGAGTCTCTACAACCTTCTGAATTGCATGATGGGTACCATTGTCTGCCTGCTTGTCCTGGGCATCCTCACGTCCTCCTACCCTTATCCTTCTTTCCAACTAGGGAGTTCACTCCCGGTAACTAGTTGTACAATAGCCTGGGACCTCCAGCCAGAGGAGGGGCTCTGTTGGCACCTGGCCCACATAGTCAGGCAGATCTGGAAGAGCCGGCTCCACCTTTCTAGACACCTTGTGTGCCAACAGCCCATGTGGTAGACTTCACTTGCCTCAATTGTGAAAGACTCTACATTAACACCAAGCCCAGAGGACTATGAGATAAATTGCGAGCTCATGCTGTAGCCACATAGCCCAACATATGGCACACTGGAAAGCCTCTGAAGACAGTGCTCCAACAATGATGGCTGTCAATGTGGTGGTACTGATAGTACTCTGTGGTGCTGGTGGCATTCCGGAGTGCTACAGCCGGGGAACTCCAGAAGTTGTTCTTCCCTGTGGTAAAGGAACAGTGAATATCTAGGGTGAAAATGGACTATATTGGGAGGAACAACACATACTATAAAGAATCAGAAAAGCCAAGCACAGTGGCACTCAGGAAACTAAAGCAGGAGGGTCCTGAGTTCTAAGCCGGTCTGGGCTGTATACTCCGTTACACTGCTTCTCTGAGCCCAAGAAATAGGGAATTGAGGGTGGACTAGGCAAAGGGACCTTTAGAGAATTCACAGAGGGTGGAAACTAGTGTCTACCTACCAGGTGGGCTGTTGCCAAACAAGGTGGCTAGAAAAGGAACCAAGTCTCCCAGACCTGCTGACTGCATGGCCCAGGTGCCACTGGAGCTCAGAGCTGTCCCTCCTCCAGCTGGAGGTCCCAGGCTAATGTACGACTAGTTAGGATGAGTTAGGGTAGGAAGCCTGATAGGTGGGGAGCAGAAGGGTAGCTAGTAATGACAACAGTACTGAAGACCTGTCTCTGTGGAGCCTGCCAAAAGAAAGTTCTGGAATAAGGGGCTGGCAGACAACTCTTGCCACGCCGTCCAGCTGGAGCAGGCATAGGTACTGAGGCAGGAGCGGTTTCAGGCTGACCCCCAGGCTGCCTTCTCAAGCAGCTCAGGCTGAGGAGCTGTAGGAAAGCTGGAGGTCAAGGCAGCCAGAGTGTGCGAGCCTTTACCGTTTCCAGGGAGAGGGGTGGGCTCTGCAGATAACGTTCCCCCAGGGAGCACTCGTACGATGAGATCTGTCTCAGATTCCCTTAGCTCTGGGGTGCAAAAATTTCCCACGTATTACCTTTCTGAGTTGGATCACGTCTTAAAATTGTTTTCTTTTCCTTAAATATGTGGATATGATATCCCTGGTGCTTCCCTCTGTGGCATCTGGATGTCAAAGAAACACAAAAATGTGTCACGATGGTAGAACATTAAGAAATGCAGTGTAATAGTTAATCTTCTCATGTAACCGTGTGGCATTTGACCCATTAGTCACCTACCCCAAGGAATGCTAGGAAAAGCAAACATTCTAACCAGTGACACACAATGCAGCTAATTACCTAGGGAAGTTCACGTTCAAATAAATTGGGAGGTTACACACAGGAAGCTGACTTGTTGGAGGTGATCATGGCTGAGGCACCCCCACAGCCTGGCTGACTAGAGATGGAGTCTTCCCACTGCAGCTTTCCAGTAAGCTCTTCTGAATATCTGCAAGGATAATGCACAAAAGCTTTCTTCATTCATCCTGGAGCCTTGACGGATGTGTCTTTGCTTCCTGGGGCTTCCAAATGAAAGGTTAAAGGGAGTCTGGGCAGAATACAAATAGTCTTCCCTTTCAGGGCTTTGTTCTCTGAGTTCTCAGGCCAGAAGATGAACTCCCTTCTGGCGTTTGCTGTTTGGCTGCCTGGGACTGGAGATGTCCCCCAGGTTCTATCAGCTCATGAAATCGCATATCTATATAATCAGTTTCCACCATGTTCCTGGAAAGGCATTCAGCTAGCTGTAACAGGCTCCTCCTCTGCTCCCCTTTGCACCAAGTCATTAGGCTGAGCCCCAGGGGCTCCGTCCTCTTTCCCTGCAGCCCTCCCAGTCAAGGCCATTCTTTCCTTAGAGTTTAGCTCCTCAAGTCACCCACACCCTCTTCCTGTCCAGGATAGCCAAAAGGAAACAAATGTCTGTATAGAGGCAGGCACCATTTGGAAGAAAGAAGACTCTAAGTAGACGTGAGTTCAAACAGGAAAAAAATCCTGGCTGACTCCGCAGAGGGCACGAAGGTGCAGTTGAGAGAGCACCCTACAGGGAAAGAAAATCAATTTTCATTAATGATTTTGAATGTGCCATTGGCTCTGGGTTAATTATTTATTTGTATGAGGGTTTAGATTTATCTCATGGATATGCCATATTATTTGAAAGGGTTTTAGTGTCTTTGACCTCTGCTCGATGGATCTTCTTGACCCATATTTCATCCTACATGCAAAGACAGTAGGCAGCAGTTGGTCATTTATTCTACTTACTTCATTGTTTCAATTGACAAATAATGAAGCTTACTATGTGTTAGACCCTCTTCTAGGTTCTGGGAATAAAGCTTTGAGAAGAGTAATGCCCCCACTTTCACATAGCTGAATATCCTAAAGATGGGGAAGGCAGATGACCACTAACATGAAACATGAAGTTGTTGAACTTTGGAGAGGATACATGGGATGGCCCCAGCCCATAGCTCCAGGCTAATCATGAGAAAAACATCAGGCAGATTCCAGTAGAGGGAGTCCTACAAAATACATGTCCAGTACTCCTCAAGTGTCAAGGCTATCAAAAATCAGAGCAACCGTCTCAGCTAAGAGTTATATAAAGAGGCATAGCAACTATGTGTATCATCTCTGAGTGGAATTCTGGGAGGGGAGAGACCATTAGGCAAAACTATGAAATCTGATTAAACCATGGACTTCAATTAGTGGGAACAAATTAATGTGAGCATCATCATTTCAGAGAGTGAAATTATTCATAATCAGGAAGTTTAAAAGGAGCAATGCTTTAGAATGGGAGGGGCTACTAAGTCAGAGAAGTCTTACTAAAGAGGGGACAGATGAGGTTCCAATCTGCAGAGTACAAAAGTGCATCTGGGATGGTGTGAGAAGAAAAGGCTCTGAAGGAGGGATGAGCTGACATGTTCAGAAAACACACAGGAGTGCTGTGTAGCCCCAACACCATAAGCAAGTTAGACAATGAATGGTTAAAAGTGGTGAATGTAGTCTCTCTCTCTCTCCTCTCTCTCTCTCTCTCCTCTCTCTCTCTCTCTCTCTCTCTCTCTCTCTCTCTCTCTCTCTCTCTTTCTCTCTCTAAAAAAAAAAAAAGACAAAGGAAAGAAATGGCCTCCTTTCCTCCGTATCATTTTCTGAAGTGAAGGAACAGAAGATGCCAGGCCAGCAACTTGGCAGCATGTTTCATGTCTATTTCTAAAACAATAATCATTATGGGAGATGGGATTATTCTAACTGGCTTCCACTACTCAATCCAGACCCTGTAGCTAAAAACAAGTTTCAAATTTCCCCAGGTTACATAGCAATGGGGATGAGCAGGGATTCTACTTGGACAGTGTAGAGATTGAAGGATGCATGTTAGATAACCAAATGATAGTTGTATTGTCGTTTTCACTGTATTGTCAGATCTATGTGTGATGAACTGTCCTATGCATATGTTCATTGGAACTGTAGAAAGCTCAACTTGAATCTCACTGACTGTGTGGCAAGAACTTGAAGACCCAAGGACTTGAGGTTCCTAGAAAGATTAACTATAGTAAGGGGAAAGGCAGGGAATCAAAGACTGTTTCAAAATAACACCAAGCATGGCTGGACACTTCCTATGCATCTGACACAATCCTACATAACATAAATAAAATCATTTGCTTCCCAAGACACCTTGTAATGTGGCCTTTGGTGCCACATTTTCACTTTCCAAGGGAGGAAGGAAATGGAGATTGAGAAAGTTTAAGGCAATTTGCCAATGTCACATATGCAGCCAGGATTTGAACCCAGACAGTCTGGCTCCTGAGCCTGTGTGTCTAATCCCTGAGCATCCTGCACACCAAGTACTCAGTCTGCACTTGAAAGTTAACATTTTAGAGCAGTGCTTCTCAAATCAACACCTCCCTTTTGAAGACACACAACTCTCATGCCGTCTTCGAAGAGATCTACATTTTCATTCTTTGCCCTTTTATACGTTAAAATCACTTATTGCCTCGGATTTTCAGGTAATATTTCCCTCCCTGAGGTCCTGAGATGCCTAGCCCTGCAGAAGGCAGTCTTCCAAGGATAAATCTCCTTCCAGAGCCCTTCCACAGACTTCCTGTGGGATGAGTGTCTAGCGGAAGCTTGGTGCTGCTGGAACTCTAGCCCCACGAGCTCTTGGTAAGGAGAATCGTTTCTCAATATTGCTCAATCTTCTACATAACTTTAGCTGTGCAGGTCTGATGTTGGGGTCAAAGACCTCCCAGAGCTGACTTCCTATTGTGTAAGGGAGGGCAAGTCACTAGCTAAGCCTCTCATTTGGCAAGCAGAGAAAACATGTCCCCAAAGAATAAATGGGACTCGTTGTGGTTCAGCTGTTTGGAAATTGAGTTTTTGTTTTTAGAAGAATTACCCCCAAAGGATAAAAAAAAATCCATTCCTATTTCATTTAGGAAGACCATGAGGCTCAAAGGACATGTTTGCTTACTCCTTCTCCCTCTTTTCATATAATTATTCTGCAGGGCAAGGGGCACGTTGCTAATAGCCCTTGTGCAGAGTTGAATCATAAATATGCTAGATAAGATTCAAAGTGCTACATTGGTCAGTGTCACTGTTCAATATAGAAGCTCCACGTGTACCCATGGGACTGACCCTGACTCCATAACATCCAGTGTCTGTGCTCCAGCTAAAGATCACTTGGAATTGCCATCCAGGTTGCAAATGGTAACCTGGGCAATAAATATTAATATCCAGGCTGCCTGTCAGTGTACAGGACAGGCCTCGGCATGGGCCCCTCCAGCAATGAGTATGCATTTATGACATATTTTAGAAACCTGGTTATTGTTTCTCCCACGCTGCCCCCAAATAGGGGCTGGGGTGACTGTCAATTATGTAATACTTCCACCAGAGTGCTTACTTTCCTGAGAGAGCTTGGCCGACTGTCTTAAAATTATGACCGTGTGTGGAGTTCAAATCCTTGACTCTGTACCGTACTACGTACGATTGCTGTTTTATATTGACACCTCCAATGCTAGGATAGCAGCATGGAGAACTACATAACTTTATAGAACTACTCAGTACATATGGGCAACGTGCAAATATTCACTGATACTAATGTTTCTGTGGTAGTTGTAGTCAGACTTTTGAACAGCAGTGTAAGACTGTCCATCCGACACCCTGGAGGACTCCTGTCAAGAGCTCTTAGACAGTCTCTCTTGGCTTTTGTCTTTCAGCGCTCTCCTAAGGACGGCAGCTTCTAAGGAGCACATTAGCAAAATAGTTACAAAGCTTTGACCACGCAAAGGATGTTAGCTGGAGCAGTACCCTTTTCTAGCCTGGAGAGGCAGTGTGGCTGCTGACCTCCTCCTCCAGTCTGCCTCATTGGCAGGGAATCATGGGAATTTCTGCAGTTTGCGATGTGGACATTTGCCAGCTTTGACAAAAGTCAAAGCAATCTACACAGGACAAAGGGTGCTAGATTCAACCAGAGCAGCAGCATATGCTTTGAAGACGTCTCACTTGGATAGGCCAGGTTCTTTGCTGTAGTCAAATTAGAAAATTTGGGATTTCAAAATGTTTATCCCTATGGTCCTCAATTTAAATGACAATTTTCCAAGTAAAAATGGAAGGAGTAAGTATAGGATTGAGCTGAGACTGAGGAGTGATGTAGGTAATACAGATCTCGAGCCTGGCAAACAGTCTAATACATGGTAATTACTGTGATAATCTCTCTTCAGGATCTGTACCATGAAATAACCTTGAAGTTTCTAACTGCATTCAGAATCACACACAAACCAGCATGTTTATGCATGCGTATAATCTCAGGAGGCTGAAGCAGGGATCACACAAGCCCAGAAGAATTCAAGGCTAACCTGGGCTACACAAAGAAACTCCATCTCAAAACAAAACAACGATGAAATACATACATACAGGTACAAATATGCACACTCACACAAAAGCTAAAATATGCACAGGAAAAATGAAAAATACCAACATACTAGTAGTCATTTATTTTAAAAGAGCCACTTACATAACAAAATAAAAAGAACTTTAAAAATAACTGCAAGGTTGGCCACATTTATTTCTAGCCAGCCGTGCGATGCCTAATTAGTGTGTCTTCCTCATGTTTCACCCTTTTCTCACTAGACATGAACACGGTTATTA